TAGACGGTTAACTAAATTAAATGGCGCCCAACTCGAGTTTGTCGTCAGTGTAACCAAATTACATCCTGCAGTTGATGCTTGCTCTCAGTCTCTCATTGCTAAGAGGAGTTTCGTTAAATCGACATTTCCACTGCACTAATTTCGAGTAATTTCACCATTAACCTTTTACTAAATTGAAGGCATTTAAGGGTACTTCACATTTACCGACAATTACCACCTTATATTTGTCAATTTTGTTGTTCAACATGCTTCTCCCATAGATATATGAAATCTAGAAAATAATTAAATCATCATATATAAATTAAAAAAGTATTATTTTAAATTAATATTTCTTAAATTATTTATATAATTATCAATTAAATGACTTAAAATTAAATGAATTAAATAAAAATAATTTTGTTTATTAACATTAATTTAATTAGTAGTTTATTAAAGGGGATTCGATTTAAATTTCACCTCCTCCTCCCTGGGAAATGAAGGGGAAAGAAATAACCAATTAAGTTGTGTAGTGAATCGAAACAAATCGATTACGATTTAGAGTCAAGTGTTTAGGCGAAATAACCTCAAAAATTCGTTATTTTGTAATTAAATTGTTTATATATTTGTTTTTATTTCGATTTAAATAAAAAATTTTTTATTTTTGTTTGAAAATTTCTACTATATACAAAATTATATATGTATATATATTTTGAGAGAGTTATAAAATGCAGATGAGTAAAATGAATTCAGTCGCGGTGACGTCACTCGAGAGTGAGGCCCGTGAACGAAAATTCATTCACTTCCAATTTGCAGAAAATCAAAGTTTGAGATGGCTTGAGAAGATACTATGGGCAAAACTGTCACATTGTGTTATGATTTTCACGTCTCTAAAAACATTAACTGGAGAATACTGAACTCAGTTTCAACTAAAAGCCCCGGGAGAAATAAAGTCATATGACAATTTGTTGACAAGACAATCGGAAAATTTCATTGCGATTAATCGTTTCACAAGCAGAAAAAACTGGACATATTTAATAGAAATAAAGCTACAATTGTTGATAAAATTTTATAATTACGGATCCAATGACAGTTTTCTAAAATTGAAAATGGCGGACACAATATGGCGGATGAAAAAAATTTTAAATCGTTTGGATTTACTTAAAACTTGTGTATCAGGAATTTTTGGGGTCGCTGATTACGAATCTGATAACAGTTTTTAAAAATCCAAAATGGCGGATCTAATATGATGAAAAAAATTTAAAAATCGTTTCAATTTGCTTAAAACATGTTATACTCAGGGGTTTTCGTGGTTGCTGATTACGAATCCAATGATACTTTTTTAAAATTCAATATGACGGATTCAATATTCTAAAAAAAAAATTTTTTTTAATTGATCCGATTCATTTAAATTTTGTTCCTCGAGGATTTTTTGTGTCGCTGATTACAAATCTGATATCAAATATTTAATCAGCGATACTGAAAACCTACGAGTAACGAGTTTCAAGCGAATAGAATCAATTTAAAAAAAAAAATTGTTAGCTATATTGGATTCGTCATATTGGAACTTTAAAAAACCAACACACAATCTGTTAAAAAATATTTAAAGTACCATTTTTTTCTAAGGAAAATGCACTCAAAATAATAATTTTTGTTAAAGTTTAATTTTCCTTTTTATTGATGTTTGTAGATGTTCAATTATTGGTGGAAATTTAATAAAAAGTTGAGAATAAAATAAATTTTCTACTGCCAGTGGATTATCCGGGTCATATATTAAATATTTCACTTGCATTTTAAATTCAATTTCAAAAAAAAAAACTTGATATTCTGAATTATAAAATAAATTCCATTGATTACGAGTATGTGTATTCGTTGGTATCTATATAAAAATAATCTAGACTGTAATATAAAATATTGACGTTTAATATATATATATATATGATGAGAAATTGAAATTTATAAAAGTTAACGTTGAAGAAATTAACTTTTGAACAAAAACGTACAGTTAGAAACAGAATAATTCAAATGTCACGCAACATATATAAAGAGAGAGAGTTCGTAAATTTACAATTTCTTCGACCACTGACTATGATCGAAAATAAGTACTATTTTATGAGGAAAATTACGTCACGACGTGGGCTCTTCACTCTCGTTATTCATTACCTAACACACGCGATTTGTAGAGATAGTCTATAATTTGCGAATCCCCTACATATATATAATTCTCAAGAAAAGGGTTTGGGAGGAGAGAACTTACAGCTATAGACGATTGTTTGGCGCCTGATCTAGGCTAGTGTATGTGTGTATAGAAACAACAGATATAAAAGTATATGAGACTGTATATACACATATATATGTCGACGCTTTGTATTTATCTGTTCGATATGGTAATAGTCAATTCGTGGTAATTATAGCTATTCCAAATAGGGGGGGAAAACGTTTTATCGTGTATATAGGGGAGAATTATATTGCGAAAATACGAACAATAATTTTACGATGCAATGTGGCGATCACAATGCGATATTCTTGCTCTCGCGAAGAAGAAGAAGAAGAAAAAGAAGAAGTTAGCAAATGCTCTTGCGGAGAATGGAGAACTATATAATGAACGAACGTTAATTAGTTGCAATAAGTGCGATCGTGACAAGTTCTCTTTTCTCTCTCAACCCGCAAACGATGAATGTACAGAACTTTCTCAACACTAAATATCTTCTCTCCTCTTCGAACATAGTGGAAATTGAAAGCATTTTTTTTTTTTATTGCCTTTAACTCGTGGATACTTATTTAAGTGAGAAACTTCTATGCTAAGAATTCATTGTGGGAATTTTTACAAATAGCTCTTTTAATTGCAGGCATTTTATGAGAGGGTATTAATTTTATAACAGATAGTTTCTCAATGTTTTTTTTTAAATTATTAATTATTATGTTCTTGATAATGAAATTATTTTGAAGGGTTTTGAATTGGTTAATTTAAAAATATTGTCCATCTGCCATTTGAAGAAGTGATGTGATACATTAAATCTTTAGATTTAATTATTTTAGTGTACAAAGTTCTAAACACTGGGGGTTGATTATGTAAATCCACTTCCACTTTTTCTCATTTCCACTTTAATTTCCACATCCACTTCTTCTAATTTTCATTTCCATTTCCACTTCAACTTTTTCTCATTTTCACTCCCATTTCCACTTTCAATTTTTTAATTTTTATTCACACTTCCATTTCTACATGCACTCATTTTTACTCGCACTTCAATGAATAAAAATTAAAATTAAAAAAAGTGGAAATGGAGGTGTGAATGAAAATTAGAATTAGGATAATTAGAAACAGTGGAAGTGAAAATAAAAGTGGAAATGATAATTAGAAAAAGTGGAAATGAAAATTAGTAATAGTGGCAGTGGAAATGGAAGTGGGAATGGAAATTAGATAAAGTGGAACTGGAAATTGAATTTGGAAAAGAAATTAAAAATAGTAGCAGTGGAAATGTATGTGGGAGTGGAAATGGAAATGCAAGTGGAAATTGGAGTGGAAATAAGAAAAAGTGGATGTGGGAATGGAAGTGAGAATGGAAATTAGAAAAAGTAGAAGTGGAAGTGGAAGTGGATATGGAATTACATAATCGACCCCCTGGATGTTAATCTCAAATTTTTTGCTAAATCTCGAGCAATATCTCACTCATCCTTCATTGATCTTTAGTAATTTCAGTGATGTCATCTTCTTAAGTTGCTGAATGAATCTTTAAATTTTTGCATATTCTATATAATCCCTATTCTAATCCTCGATTTAAAACTAAGTTGCGAAGACTTATTAACTTCATTATTAAATTCATAACCCATAAAAGACAAAAAAAATTTTTCATAAAAATTAATTGAGATCAATCTCAAAAACAATAAAAAATTGTTTGGTTGTTACCACGCGCGAAAAATGATAAAAGCAAAAAAGAGGTTAATTGAATCGGGACACGGACATATTGTATATATATATATATACATATATATGACATCAGAACAATTTAGCCAGGCGCAATTAATAAACATACATTCTCGGCATGTTTCCGTAACAACGTAGTTTTATATAAAATGTAGAGAGAGAAGGTGCAGAAAATATGAATTTCACACGAGCCTCATTTAGAAAAAAAAAAAATTGGTGAGGTTGTTATGTACCGTTGACGCGATAACACACATATAGAATATTATTAACAAGATTACAGAGATGCGATAATGTTACATGCCTCGTTGTTATTGTCGTTGTTCTCTTACATGAGGCTTAGTATTCGCAACGATTTTCCTGACGAAATCCCCCTTTCTCTCTATATTGTATATAGCTCGAAAGCTCAGCACAACACACGTCTAGTACTGTACTACCGGAAAATCGAAATCCAATGGGAACGTGACCAGAAAACTAGCAGAGACTTACGATTGAAAAACTTTTTACTCAATATGGAATTACAAATTTTAATCCAATTTCTCACACTCGTCTTTGCCGTAAATATAAGGTATATACCTGTATTATATGCCGCAGAGAGCATGAATGTGAAAACAAAAAGTAAAATAATAAGGATCGCGCGGTATCTTCTAAGAAAATTTTGTTTGAAAACTGAATATAAAAGATGTGCACTGGAATAAAGTTACACACTTCTAAAAATTCTTTTTCGCAAAAAAGAAAAAAAATGAAAAATATTCCTTTTCCGTAACGGAGGAATTCAATTAAATTTTGTGTTTTCTTATTCCACTTTGGAAAGGTTTCGCCTTTCTGGAGATTTCGTTGAAATTTCATTTTCGGCGGAAAACGTACGGAATTTTTGGAAGGGAAAAAAAAATTATCCATAGCATTTTAATGGAAGTCATTAGTTTTTGACAGAAAGGAAAACAAAATTTCGGCAGAAATTTTATCCGAACTCAAGCCGAATCTGAAAGGGAAATCTCTGTTTTCAGAAAAATAATAATTTTCTTTCGATTTTCTAAGTTTTACATTCAAGGATTCTTTTTATCAATATTTATTAAATTGTGCACTCTCTTTTTGTTTCCAGAGACTTGAGACCTGCAAGTTTGGAGAAGGGCCAGGAGACTCTCAGACTGAGAGTGTATGCAGTATATGCCTGGGGCGGGCCACTGCTTGTTGCAGGATTGGCAGCTGTTCTGGACCATCTTCCCGAGGATCCAGCATCCACCTTCCTGAGGCCTCGTTTCGGCGACAATAAGTGCTGGTTCTATGGTGAGTACATTTTTTTTTTTACATTTCTCTATCACCTCAGGCAGCTTGTATTAGTATGCATATATATGTATATTCAAAACACATTCTCACGCACATATGGCAGAATTCTGTTACATTTCTTCTTTTCTTTTTTTGGCAAATTTCGTGCTGAAAAATTCGACACCAATGAAATTTAAACCTTATGGAATTAAATTACACCCTGTTGAAATTTAACATGGTTAGGATAAACGAGAAGAACTATACACTTTTTTATCAATATAAATAAATAAAGCAGATTAATTTAGTTTACATTATGTTTTTTCTGGATATTTAATTTAATCTCCGAGCTGAGTTAGTTAAGAAATAATTATTAATTAAGAAGAGGTGTTGAATAAGTAGTACTGTGGGCTGATACCAGGGGGTCAATTATGTATAACTTTTTCTGGATCCCATTTTCAAAATCCCGTATTTCAAATTCCGGATTCCACTTTCAAAATTCCGTATTCCGGATTCTACACTCCGTATTCTACTTTTCAAATTCCGTATTTGGTATTCCACTTTTCACATTCCGTAATCCGGATTCCACATTCCACTTTTTACATTCCTGATTTCACATTTAGGATTCCACTTCCAAAATTCCAGATTCCAAATCCCACATTCTGAATGTGGAATGTGGAATCCGGAATGTAGAAAGTGAAATACGGAATGTGGAATAAAGAATACGGAATTTTGTAAGTGGAATCCGGAATGTGAAAAGTGGGATCCGGAATATGGAAACAAGAATGTGGAATATGGAATGTGAAGAGTAGAATCCAGAATGTGGAATCTGGGAAAAGGTACGTAATTAACCCCCAGGTGTAAATTATGACCATGCACAAAAGAAGGTTGTCGGACCTCAGTGATAAACCTCAAGTCCGGAGTCCAATTGACAGTAACGAAACCCAAATTAGAAGAAAATAGTTCTTCTATAGAAAAGGAGTAAAGATGTTTCCCAAGGATTGTAGTAAAGTAGAGTTGAATCCACGAGAATTGAATTTCTTCCAAACTGTTGATGGAGAACTTCTTCTTTTACATCGTAATAGAAATTCTAGTCCAAACTAATATGAATTTGGGCAGAGTAACAGTACTTGGAAATTTAGTAAATTAATATCTGATGACGACGAGCACCAAAATCTGAACTGATTTTTCCTGGCATATGTGTATGATTTATAAGGTCATAAATGTTTTCCACATTTGGTATTTTTTTGGAAATACAGAATTTTTTAGAAAACTTAATGTATTATTGATTTTATAAAATAGTGTCATGAATTTCGTATTAGTAAAAAGTAAATTTGTTACAGTAATGCAGCTGCAATAAATGAAGTATAACAAAACGTTACAGTGACAAGAATAATTATTATCGCAGCATATCCCAAAAAAAAGATTTTTATTTTTCAAATAGAAATTTTTGTTCCAAATAGAACATACGGATACAATAATTTACTCCCCTGATGACATATGTATATACTAAAGAAAAGCGTTATTGTCATTAGCCATATTAAAGTTTTTAGTCATCAAAATTCTCCTTCATCCATAAAAAAAAGGAAGGGGAGACTCTTCTCTCCCAGATTCGTATTGAGACTGAACATAATCTCTCGTAAAAGGAGCTTACGTTAGTAATCTTCGTTTATGCTATGGCTGAAATTGAGATCGATACATATATGAAGTCCCTCGAAACCGAAATCTCAATAATAGCCGGTCTATATAGTATATGAATCCTCGACGGTCTCTAGTGGGTATATAAGGGGGATAACAATGCACTCTTTATCTTCAATTCTGGTTTGAGTTCGAAGTGTATGGCCTTGCCACGTTATATATATATATATATATAGACCATGGCAACGGCAACGATTCTCATAGTTTCAGACTGTTTAACAACCTAACCCATAATCCGCGTGGCACTGCATTGCCTACTATACTACTTCGTAATCCCACGTGTACGAACGTCAGTACCATGACTGTTTCCTCCACGTAATACCGCCCCGCATCTACATCGTGCACATTAATGAAGATCCACTAATACCCTATAATGCCCACACACGCGAAAGAGACCACACTGTAAAACATGCTGTACGAGAGATAAAAATCTCCATTCCAGCAGGGTCTAAAAATGGAAAAAAAAAAAATGCAGTGAGCTTGTTTACTTTTTTCTGAATATAGTTGCGGAGAGTGAGACGTGAATGCTAAAATGTTTTTGCTTTAAATATTAAAAGTATTGTGTTGATAAAAACACTACTAATTAATTATGATTCTAGTTTATTTATTATTAATAGTTGATTCTATTAATTACTGTTGGAGATATTATTTGTGAATATTAAAAGTTCTTGAGTAGAATTCCGGGTTCGCAAGTTTTTGTCAGTCGTGTGCAAACACGGTCCTGCGGTAAAGCATTTAGTTGTATACGGTTCTTCAAGCTTAACGTAAAATTATCTTAATTCTTTAATGTATTCAAATAGTTTAATTATTCATCAATAAAGTAAAACTTTAAGAATCTGTAAATTAAGGTATATTTGAATTTTATACAAAAATTAGATTGTTTGTACAATATTTTTTTTGGCATACGAGTTGTAAAATAAAGCTGCCCCCACAGCACCGAAACTTTCCTAAAGATTAACCTTAAGATTTATTTGAAATGTTTGGAATATTTAATTGCAATGTTTAGTGAAAATTGTGTAAAGATTTAAATGTCCCACTTGAATAAATGTTTAGCGCGAAACTTTCCTAAACATTTAAATGAAATTTTCAGGAAACTTTCACAAAGTTCCACACTAAACATTTATTTAATCAGGACATTTAAATCTTTACACGATTTTCACTAAACATTGCAATTAAATATTCCGAACATTTCAAATAAATGTTTAGGAAATCTTTAGAAAAGTTTCGGTGCTGTGGGAGTGAACATCCTCTGTTATTAAAATTTCGACTTTGGTTTTGCCAATTAGAGCTGGCACAGTAGTGATGTGAAGAGTAAAAAAAAGTTTTTGGAATTTTTTTTCCAACCATATATATATATATATATATACGTTTATTTAAATATCACGAAAATTTAAATACTAAAGCTACTGACCCACATTCCTCAGTTTACCTTCCAACTGCAAAAGAATATCCTCAAAACCAATAAGCAAATATTACATTCTTTTTGAAATTAACATACATTTGACTTTCAATTTGTTTGTAAAAACTGTGACGCGGTATTTTGTCTTGCACAAATAACCTAAAATAATAAAAATTATTAGAAATTAAATGAATAGGAGGCGTCGAAGTTTTATTAAATAAACGAGATCAGAATGAGAATCCAGCCATAATTGCTGTAAAAAGTTTCAATTTGTATAATTTCTTATAATATTCACTTCATTTTCTTTGAATAATATAATAAAATATAAAATAATTAAACCAACTTGCCAAAGTCATTAGAATTAATAGTCAACAAAGTTTATGGATCACTGTACCTTTAAAAGTTGTTGTAGTCGCTGATTACGAATCTGAAATCTGTTTTTAAAAATTAAAAATGGCGGATTCAATATGGCGGACGAATTTTAAAAAACTTATCGGATTCATTTGAAACTCGTTAATTGGGGGTTTTTGGTGTTGCTGATTACGAATCCGTTGTCAGTTTTAAAAAATTCAAAATGGCGGATCCAATATGGCGAAAGTAATTTCAAAAACCGAACGCAATTGGCTTGTAACTTGTTACTCGGGGGTTTTTTGGGGTGACTGATTACGAATCTTAAGTCCGTTTTTGAAGATTCAAAATGGCGGATCTAATATGGCTAAAGAGTTTTCAAAAAAATCGATCGGATTGAATTGAAACTCGTTACTCGGGGGTTTTCGAAAATGTAAGTGGAAAAATATTTAATTTAATCAATTATATTGGGTTTATCAAAAATAATTATTTAAAAATTACTTTGAATTAACTAATGATTTCCTTTTGATGTGTTTGTCAAATTTTTTTCTCCAACCAATGCTATTCAATACTGTGTACACATAAACTTTTATATAGTAGGAGGGGAATTTATATTTACCACGACTTGAATTACGAGAAGTAATTTGAAATTAGATTCGAAGTGTTAGAAATTGGTTTCGCAATTGGAAAGTTAAACTTCAATTGGCGTTGGCTATTTCAGGGTTGACCGCAGAAGAAAACGGATTTTGGTAAAAGAAAAAATAAAGTCGTGGTTGCATTGAAACCCCGCCAATGGCAGAAAGTCGACGTACGTACGTGACCCTTAGTAGGATTGTAAAGATTAGCTATATAACAGAAGTCGGGGTTCCATTTCCGTGTGGTATTGCGCGTTTATTAATAGGATCCATTATTGAAGCTCTAAGCTTCTCGTTGTAACCCAGAGACATAATTGAAATCCATTAATGAAAGTCATAAATAAATTATAAATCATTAATCACTGATGTATAAAAAAAACAAATATTCTTGTTTTATAATATTACATTTGCATTACTATTCTCTATACCTTGCAATTCTGATTTATTGTTCGAAAACAATTTTATGATTGCTTTTACGTGTCGATGCATATTAAAAATGACAAATGTTACATTTTTTTTTAATCTCGCGAGAAAAAAAAAATATTTTTAATACAAAGGAAGTTGAAGCATTTTGAAATGACTTAACCTTTTTAGAAGTAGGTTTCCTTTTTACTGTCTAATGTTTAGAATCCTTAAGTCTTAAGAAATGTATATGAATTCGCCTTCATTTGAGTTTAAGATTTTGTTAAACTTTTTCGTTCCTTTGATGTTTTTATTTTGTGGGACCAATGATAGAAACGTTACGTCAACTGTCAAATTAAAATAAAAATGTAACAAAGACGCAAGGGTTTTTGTATAAGATTTTGGTTTTAATTTCTCGTTGAAAATTTTTTTTCCCAGAGTTCTAAAGTCAGGAAATAATGACCCTGTGTGTACAAAGAGCTTCGCGCATGTAAATAAAGGTTTTTTTTTGACACTATTATATATAGGGGATAGGACTCACC